CCAGAATTCAAAATGTACCTAAATTTCACTCGTTTGAATATTTTGGTGCCATCCTCTGATAGTATGAAAGTAATGTATACACCAGGTTCGACCTGCTCAGTTTTTTGAGTTGAATCCTTAACCTTGCTCCCTTGAGCCTCATTCTCTTTGTCCTCTGAATCAGCGGGTGTAGCAGTACTAGGAATCTCACCTTCACTACCATTTGGTGGGATTGGATAAGTATCATTGGTTACAATTTCACTTGATTCATCCATCTTTTGATCTTGATTCTCATTTCTCTCTTCATTATTCTCAATTGGGTTATCAAGTAAAAATTTGCGTCAACTGCCATAGGGGAAGAAGAATCTACAGAAGGTCTTCCTTCAGAGGATTCTCCATGACTAGCATCAGGAGTTGTAGGTGCGTGATTTCCACTTATTATGTCTCCATTTGGTACGTCGATCAAAGTACATAAGTTGCTGGTGTCATATAAGCAATTTCTCTGCCAAATCTTTCAACTAAAACAGAAATTTTCCAGAAGAGACGTACAACAGTGAGAAACAGTTGCAAAGATTTCCATCACTTAATATGCATCTCTGTGCGAAATCACTAGGCTACAAAGAAATCCAGAAAATGCATAAAAATCCTAAACCAGCCTCATGATTTGGACCAATAGCAAACAAACCTACAATGTTACTTTTCATGCTATAAATATGACGATATAAATTGTCAAAAGTCCACCATTTCAAGGCGGGTAACCTCCTAAACGCCTCAAATTGATAGACAAAGGAGACAACGTGAACCTGAATATGCCCTCCACTTGCATAATGCCTCAACCTGGACAATTATACAAATAAAGAAAAAGCAAGAATTATACCAAAAAGAGTCATTGACGTGATTTCAAAAGAACGGGAAGACTAAATAATTACATGAATAAAAAAAAAAAGTAAGAATTATACCAAAATACTCACACCAAAAACAATAATCCCTTTGTCTCCTGGTCAATACAAGATGAGTTCTCGGTGGCTGCATAAATATCAATCGGTAATTACATAACTAAAATGCATAATAAAGATATAAATAAGACCAGTACTTAAAGATATGGAATATTTATTTACCTTCAGGGCAGTAACCTCGGAGCCAGTCTTGCGTACACATCAAAGCCTCTACAATATCTGGATGTGAGGAACTACGATATTGATCGAGTACTCGGCCACTTGTGCTAAAGCCTGAATCTTAAATGTTTGTAAAAACTAGGAGAAACTAATAAAAACATCAAAAAAATAATTTATAATTTTTTTTTACCAAAATACCCTTGAACATTTTATGGGTATTTTGGTCAATTTATTTTTTTTCGAGTTATTTTTAAAATATTTTTATTAGGTGCACCTTGATGACAAGAATAAACACTTAAAATTTCAAGTTATTTGGATTTGTTGAAAAAATATTAAAATTCAAACATGAAATGAAGTCGTAACCGTCAGATCGACCCAAATTCAATCTGCGCCATTGGGCTCATATGTTCATATGAGTTAGTGGGTTAATCTTATGGCTATTAGTTTGATCCAAAATTTGAAATATACACTCTTTTCATTCTAATGAACAATCAAAAAAAAGAAAAACTTGAAAACACAACCTAGAAAGTATTTTTTTAGCCCAATTAACATAGGTTGTTCATTTTGGTGAGATGCTTAAATCTAGGCCTTAGAAGAATTTTTTTATTTCCAATATTTTTTGATATTATCATTAGATGAACAATGTTAAAAAAGAAAAAAATGATTTTGAGTTCATAATGGCTAAGATCTTGAAATTCACAAAATGAACGGTCAAGATTCATTTTTGAAGGGGATTCATTTTGACCATATCTAGGGATCTAAATTGAACATTTTTTTTTTTGGGGATTGATTATTGAGATAAAGAGACTGTGTTTGCAAAAATTGGGGTCATACAAATACGACAAACATGGTTTTCTAGAAGTATTGTTGCATTGTACTATGATACAACCGTTGCATTGGATCATTGCTACATACACATATATGGGTGTAGTTTCTATAAGGTTGCAATCTTAAACAATCCAATTAAGGCACAAGTCCAAATTTTATTATAACATATAATTTTCTTATAAAAAATTCTTAAGATTATCTGAAAATATATTTTTATATCTAATTATAAAATTTAAATTCCAAATATGGTTAAAATCAAGTAGATCTATAAACATATGAAAATATTGAAAATGAACGGTCTAAATATTGTGTTGCAAGATGCACTTTTTATAAGACTCAAAATCTTTCTCATTTTTTTTTATATTCATACATCTCGATGTCGAGATGATCAATTAGAGGTTTTCAATATTAAACCAACCTTTTCCAATAGATTTTTGAGGTGCATCTATAGTTCTACATTTTAAGGTTGCAACTATATATATAGGAAGATGCTAGGATGAGCCCACTAGCTCACAGAATAGTATAAGCCCAATGGCCCAGATTGAATCTGAGCCGATCTGACAGTCGAGAGTGTTTGAATTTTAATTTTTTTTCTACAAATCCAAATCACTTGAAATTTTAGGTGAATATTTTTCTCATCAAGCCTCACCTAATAAAAATATATAAATAATAATAATCTGTAAAATAAAAAATGACCAAAATACTCCCAAAATTTATAGGGTATTTTGGCCATTTTATTCATGTAAAATATTTTTTTAATATTTTTCAAATATTCACCTATTTTTTATCAACAAATGTCTAAAATTTTAAGTGATTTAGATTTGTAAAAAAAAAATTAAAATTCAATTTGGGTCATCGGGCTATCGGGCATCCGTGATCGTTAGATCAGCCCAGATTCAATTTGGACCATCGGGCTCATTTTTTCTTGTGAGCCCATTGGCTCACAGAAACCTTTTCCATATATATATATATATATATATATATATATATATATATATAGTAGTAAAGTATACTACAACCTA